ATACCTACAGTACTCTCTACATACATACCCCTAATTTCTCAATGAATATTCCCTCAATTTAATTTTATTATTTTCTCTCATCTGTCTTGTCACTCTACTTTAATTTCTAGGGTTTCGTTCTCATCATACTCCAAATGCCAAGAAAATCATATTCTTTTTTTTTCTAACTTTGAAAACAAAAGTGCAAATCTTGGAAGAGAGGGAAAAAAAAAAAAGAAATATATTGATATCTATATTATTCATTTTTCTTTGTTGAAGAAGAAGAAATTAAAACCTCTTCAAATAATTATAGTTAATTAATTAAAAAAAAAAAAAAAAAGGAGAGAGAGAAGAGAAAGTGATGGTACCAGAAGATGAAGAGGTGTCCTCAGAGGGCTGCTTACCATCTCTTGTATAATCTTCGGGTAAGTTGTTTAGGTCTAATGGACTTTCCTCTGATCTCCTGCTTTTTTATTTATTCACAACAAACAAAACTTTCATTTTTAATTATTTAACCTTCAAAAACAACAAACAAAATAATACATATATAATAACTATATATAATGGAGGAAGAGATAATAAGAAGAAAAAAATTAATATAAGTGGGGATACATACATGGGAACCGACAGAGAAAGACAGATGAATTTAAATTAAAAAAAAAAGAAAAAAAAAAGGAAATTTGTTTGAGGGTGAGATAAAATTCAGTATCAGATGAAGTAAAGCTTGGAAAATTAGGAAGACTTCAGTTTGGGACTGTAAAAAATGTAGAGGCTATAGTTTGAGTGATGTTGAAGAAAGGAGACACTCTTGAAAGTTCTCTATCAGTTTTTCTTCTCTCTCTCTCTCTGCCAGAGACATATATACATCTCTCTCTCTCTCTCTCTCTCTCTCTCTAGAATTGAAAGAACATGATCAAAGGGACAGAGGGTCTCGTGACTTTAAAAAGGAGAGAGAGAGAAGAGAGGATATATAATATATATGAAGAGGAGGCTTTATGTATGTGTGTATGTATGTGCAGGGTGCATGGTAATGTCATTTGGTTTTGGATTTAGAGAGAGAAACAAGAGAGAAAGAGAGAGAGAGAGTGTGAGAGGGACATTGCCTAAGTATCTTGGCTTCCTATGTTACCTAGGTTTATTGCCCTACTTCTACTAGCTATATATATATATATATATATAACACACACACACATATTTATAAATACACACACACACATATATATATATATGTAATTGATCATTAGATAATGTGAGTAGTGGGGGGGGGGGGGGGGGGGGGGGAAATGGCCCCCAAATGGGGGGTCTTTTTGGGGGGGGAATAAAAAAAAAAAAACCCCGGGCCACTTACAATTTTTTTTTTGGGGGCGGAAGACCTTTCCTTCCCCCCCCCTTTTTTTTATTTCCCCCTCCTCCCTTTCTTTTTCTTTTTTATTTTTCCTTTAGTTAGAAAAAAAAAAAAAAGCTTCGAACAGGTCACAGCGGAGACCACAAAATGTGGATCTTATTGGTGCAGATAGCATCAAAAACCCTTGTCACATTCAAATTTTTTTGTTGCAGGAGTACATACATACACCACTATATGTATATATATACCCTAATGGAAATCAAGACAAAGGTTTTGCCTTTTAGACATGACTCTGCAGTTATGATCGGTTTTCATGTAAAGACGAGCATGCTGGAGACTATATGTATATATGTATATATATAAACACCCTCGTGGTGGTGGTGGTGTAGTGCCATTGAGGTGTTTCTATCAACCTAGTACTTGCAATCCAAACAATTAATTCAAAGAAAAAACTGTCATGTACAGGGAAATTTATGAGGCTCTCCCTCCCTCCCTCCTCTTTTAATTACACTTTCTCAAAAGATGTTTTTCTTAAAATTAATGTTTTTATTAATTAATTAGTTTATTACTTCATTTTTTTTTTTGGTCTAATTAATTAGTTTTGGTTGGTCTTTAATTTGATTTACTTACAACAAGGAAAAAAAAAGGACTTAGGAAGTTGAATAATAAGCAACTACACAATTTTGTTTTTGACACTATTTTCCTTCATTTCGAGTTTCTCTTTCTAATTTTGGACTTTTTGTTTGATCAAGTATGAAGTGTATAGTGGTGTACGTCCAAGACTTCGTTCCCAAATGCGTCTCATTCGTCACTAGAAAGCTTTACTTCGATCATCTACAACAACACCGAGGTTAAGCCCGGTGGAAAACACTCCGACGTTCAAGTTATAATAGAAGACGATTCGGGCGAAAATAATATATCGTAGATGTAAATAATGCAATATTTATTTTATATTTAGGGTAACGGAATTGTTACCTTTTAGAACTAGGTTTCTTGATACAACTTCTCTTGTACATACAAAATTCCTTGTTTAATTGCCTCCAAAACTATCAACACTAAATCTTGTTTGCAAAACAACCAACGAGTAAAAAAAAATATTTTTTACTACGACCATTAACCGTAGCAAAATGTATCAAATTTGTAGTTAGAAGGCTTTTGCTACGCATTGCTACGAATTTGCCCCCTAACATAGACGGGTGTGACAAAAACTTTGCTACGGTAAATGGCCGTAGCAAATATTTTTTTTACTATGATAAATCCTAGCATAGTAGCATTTACTATGACTCCGAGATTGTCCCGTAGTAAAAAATACATTTTTCTTACGGTTTTTACCGTAACAAAAAAATTCGTAGTAAAAAGTCAATTTTCTACTAGTGAGCGCCGAGTTTGCGCTCGGCTTGACAAATTGTTCGGCGCTTTTGGTTTATTCTCCACCTCACATATAAGATGATCTTCATCTTTTCTACTTTGGTGGTCGTAATTGTGAAAGTGGTCAGTAGAGCATAATCATAACTTATATATAACTTATAATATGCATATACCATGTAGCTAGTTTGAAAGTAGAAATTAGATAGAAATTTTAACATCCGAAACCTTAGATAACGGGCCTTGCTAGAGAGCTTAAGAAACAAATATGCATCCCAAATTAAATAGTTTCAAAGGAAAAAATTAGATAGAGAGTTTAATAATAGGGGAACTGAGGGATAACCCCCTAGTTTTGAAAATATATATGGATAAGTCCTATTAATTTTTCTTTCCTAGTCAAAAACCCAAATTTTAATCTTAATTTGACAGACTCCCCTGGACAAATTGAAATACCCGTTTTACCCTTTTAATTTCAATTCAAACCCTAACCCCCTAACCTTTTCTCCCACCCCACCCCCACATCTCTCAGCCGTCATTTTTCCCTTCTCTCTATCTTTCTCCCTCTCTCTCTCTCTAACTATATGCCCAGATCCATTTCCCTTCTCTCTCTCTCTCTCTCTCCCTCACTTTCTCTAACTATCAGCCCTCCGCCGCCGCCGTTCCCCTCACATCCTTGCGCTGCCGCCGCCGCTCTCCCACCTCCTTGCACCGCCGCTGCTCCTCCAGCCTTGCGCTACCGTTCCTTTTCGCATGCTCGACGTTAATCGCCGCTTTGAATCACCCGTCCAAATCGCATAGACTCGATGATGCCAAAAACATGATGGATAAAGGTTTGTTTGTTTTAAATTCGTTTTAAATCTCATTCTTCGTTTGATGAAATGGTTACGTTATTGTTTTAGTTTCTTCTCTCTTTTTGGTTGATGGAGTGCTCAAATCAGATCTACTATTTTTTATTAAAAAAAATTAGATCCACTATGTTTTTTAAGATTTGTGAACAAGTAATTATATTAAAATATTTTTCTTTGAATTAATTTGATTTTTTTATTTTGTTTTGATTCTTATGTTGTTCATTTTTGTTATAAATTATGTCTTTTATTTTTCGTATTTATTTGAAGATGATCCGAAATGCCTCAAGTGTGAGTGCTCTGTTTGCCTATAGTAGAAACCTAATCTGTTGCGATTAATTAGATAGGTGATTTGGTTCAGGTGAATATACAGTTATATGTAGTCATATAGAGTCATATATGTAGTCATGTATAGTCATGGACACATATATAACTATACATGACTATAGAACTTGGGTCAGGTGAATATACAGTTGTATGTATATATAGTTATACAGTTATATACAGGTGAAACGGTTTCTACGTTATTGTTTTAGTTTCTTCTCTTTCTTTGGTTGAAGGAGGGCTCAAATCAGATCTACTGTTTTTTATCAAAAAAATATCAGAGCTACTATGTTTTTTAAGATCTGTGAACAGTTAATATTAAAATCTTTTTCTTTGGATAAATTTGATTTTTTAATTTGTTTGATTCTTATGTTATTCATGTTTGTTATAAATCATATGTCTTTTATTTTTTGTATTTATTTGAAGATGATCCGAAATGCCTCAAGTGTGAGAGCTTTGTTTGCCTGTAGTAGAAACTTAATCAGTAGTGGTTACTTAGATGGTGATTTTGGTCAGGTGAATATACAGTTATATATAGTCATATACAGTCATATATGTAGTCATGTATAGTCATGGATACATATAACTATATATGACTATAGAACTTGTAGTATACTATAATCATTTGTAGTCGATTACAGTACAGTAAATTTATCAAAAAAAAAATTATGTTTTTTTGTATTTTTCATGTAATCTAACTCACATGTTCCATTTTGCTCTTTAACTTGTATTTTTTTGTCACAGGTTTTGCTTTGTATAACATTATGAGATGCAAAGAATAAGACGCAGAGAAGTGCCATGTGAAGTTGCATTCATGCTACAGTACTCCAGACTTATTCACTTATATAACTATGTATAGTAATGCATGTTCTTGTATTGAAGATTATATGCACGTGATTGTGTTTTTTTTTTTGGGGTTAGTTGATTTATAATATCAAGATTCAAATTGTGAATTTTGTTGTTGGTATAGATTAATTTTGGGATAAAAAGACATTACATGATTACATATAACTATACATGACTGTGGTATACTATAGTTAGGTGTAATATACTATAGTCTTGTATACTCAATTTCAGTACAGTAAATTTATCCAAAAAAAATTAAAATTTAAAATTTAAAATAATTAAAAAAAAATTAAAAATCAAAAAAACAAAAAATTAAAAAAATTAAAAATATTAAAAATATTAAAAAAATTAAAAAATATAAAAAAAATACAAAAGAGGGTACATATAAAAATAATAATAAAATAAATATTTATATTTTTTATTTAAAAAAATCTATAAAAATGATAAATGCAGGCCCAAAATGCTAAATGCAGTTGGGCATTATGCTGAATGCAGAGGTGAAAATCTGAATGCAGTTGGGCAAATATTGCACTTAAGGGCACAATAGTACTTTTGCCTCTCCAGGGGGTTATCTCAAAGGAATAATTTTAGGGGTGGACCTATCCCTATATATTTTGCATTCTAGGGGTGTATATCAAATGGACCCTTAATAATAAACGAGAGCTTGGATAGAAAGTTTAACAAACAAGAGCTTCGATAAAGATTTTAAATGACAACCTCAATTGAAAGCTTGAAAACTGAGTGCTTAGTTAGAGACATTTTAACAGAAAAGAATATGCACTCCAAGTAAATTTAAAAGATAGTTCAGATAGAGAGTTCATTTAAAATGCTTAACAAATCAGAGTTCAGATATAGAGTTTAGTTGATGATAACTTTGTTAGAGAGTTTACATAGAAAGTGAGGGTTTAGTTATAAGAGCTTTTTAGCTAATAAATATGCATTTTGTTGAATGGATATATGGTTCATATTGCTCTCAGCTAAGGGATGATCAAAGGTTGTGATGAATAAGTTAAAGATCTAGCTTAAAGATGATGAATGCTGACGTGGCAGAAGGCTATTATTAGAAGAGATTGTTATGTATTAAGCTGGTGCATGGGGACCACATGCATACACGGCGGTTATGGAGAGATTGCTCTAGAGTGGATGTAGATCTCGTTGATCGAACCACTATATATAAATCATGTGTTCCTGTACAATTATTAGATTAGCGGTTTTGCATTATTGTTCTTCAACTTCTTGGTTTGAATTTCACGCGTAAATACTCAACAAGTGGTGCGGTGAGTGGACTGATACTGGCGCTATGTTTGAGCTCGATAAGTTCAATAGGGATAATGATTTGAGCCCATTTTTTAATGGATTTCAAATCCTCCCACAAACCTAGTCATTTGAAATCCACCCATCGAGAATTCTCTCAGCAGCCTTAAAAAATTAGGGATTTCTTCAATCATTGATCTTCTAGCTAGGGAATTAGTAGGGAATATTTCTCTTCAACGGCGGGTGCTCGACGGCGGTGAGATGCCCATAGACCCTCTCTTGGACGGGTAGTCTACCTCGACTCCAACCTCGTCCTCGTCGACGACATCGCGAAAGTCGCGGCAATGCCGCTCCCGAACGGGGCCGTGCTGGCGGCGCCGGAGTACTGCAACGCCAACTTCACCACCTACTTCACGCCGACGTTCTGGTCCAGCCCTTCTCTCTCGCTAACCTTCGCCAACACAAAACCCTGCTACTTCAACACCGGAGTTATGGTGATCGATCTCCAGAGATGGAGGGCCGGAGATTACACCACCAAGATTGTCGAGTGGATGGACCTTCAGAAGAGGATGAGAATTTACGAGCTGGGCTCTTTGCCACCATTCTTGCTCGTGTTCGCCGGAAACATAGCTCCGGTGGAACCAGCACGGACTCGGCGGCGATTATAACTTCTGTGGCCTCTGCCGTGATTTGCACCCCGGTCCGGTGAGCCTGTTAAATTGGAGTGGGAAGGGGAAGCCGTGGGCCCGGCTCGACTTGAACATCACATTTGTATGATATGAAAATATTTGTAAAATTAATTAAAGAATTTAAACCCACTACTCTTTAGCCAAACAGTGAATTTGATTTGAAATCCTTTGTATAAATCTTTATGTATTCAAATAGGTGATTTTAAATTGTATGGATTTCAAATCCAATGTATTTTAAATTCAAGGTATTTCAAATCCATTCGTTTGAAATCCTCCAATCCAAACAGGACCTAATTGTTCACTAAGGAATCTCAGTGGCCATAAATAAAGCAGAAATGGGGGAGTTTGTTTATACAAGGGGTATTGGGTAAGTTTTTTTTTTTTTTAACAGGAATATTTGCCAATTATAAATTTTACAGGGGAGGTATTTGCAATTAACTCATAATAGTAATATATTTCCGTAGGTTTTTTGATTTGGGCTTTCTTTCATGGAATCTAAGTAATTGTTTTTTGCAAAGCCCAATAATACAAATCATATGTTACACGAGCAATAATTGTAATTTGTAACAAATAATATTTTATTCAAATTTTAATAGCAACATATATATATATTAGATACAAAATTTCCACACTTATAACGGGTGAATCTTCCGCAGCTCACAAAACCAGAACCTAAAAAAGGCTCGTCCGGCGCACAATAGCACATCGAATCCTTTGACCAAAACGATGTCGTATTTGCTGCCTCACCTTCACTCTGGATGGGCCGTCGACCAGGCCATACTCGCCGAGGAAGAACGCCTCGTCATCATCCGCTTCGGCCACGACTGGGACGAAACTTGCATGCAGGCAGGTAGGTCTATTTTTTTTTTCTTCAATCCGAATTGATTACTTCTTGTCGATTGAGATTTTATGACCCATAGCTATTGATTTGATAATTTTTGGGTTTGTTTATTGCGTTTATTAGCTGCATAATTGCATCAATTTTGGTTCTAATTGTATTGGAAATTCTGGGTGAAATCAACATGTTTAACTAGTGATGTATAAGTTCTTATAATTTACCTTGAGAAATCCCAAATTATTTGGTAACGGTTTAACTGGAATTTTACCTTTGAATATATGTTCCATGTTATGAATATAAGTCTAAAGTTTAGATATTAAGGCCTCGTTTGGTTGGGGAGATTAACCATTATTAACTAAATAATTGGACTTTGTTTGACGTTTGATAGCCCCAATAACTTGCCCAGTCGACCCGTAAATATTATACTCCCTCCGTCCCAATTTAAATGACGTTTTGGGTTGTTACACATATATTAAGAAAATCAATAAATGTATATAGATTATAGTAAAAAGCATAGGAAAATACTAATATATCCTTGACATTAATTATTTTACAACTAACAAATTATGAGTGATAAAGGGTAAAATTGAAAATAATGCAATTAATGATGCATTGAAAATCTAAAATGACAAATAATTTGGGACAAAAAAAACTCTCTAAAAAGACATATAATATGGGACAGAGGGAGTATAATCATGGTTTATCTTGTCATACATGTTTTTTGTTGGATATTCCAGATATAATTGGGTTTCATTAGATTATTTAATCTTATCTTGGCTAATCTTATTTTGGCAAACAAACGAGGCCTAAGAGTTATTGCTTAATAAATAAGTAACTAAACCGAGAAAAATAGAATTAATCTATTCAAATTTGGATTGGTCTCTATCAAGTTTTACTGAGTTGATGTTATTTGTACCAGGCGTGCAACTAACCATAATTTGGCTAAAACAACATTGTATTGATGCATTTGTTTCTATATTTATGTCTTTTTTTTCTCCCTCTCTGTTTTTTTTTGGTTGTCCAGAAACCCCGATATTTTGTCTAAACCAACTCAAATTTAATCTGTGTAATCTGAAGCTTGATACTTTATGCTGCCTCTTAAATTACGAAAACCATGCATCAAGAAGTCAACTTCTAATTAAACTCATTTACAACTAATGTAAGGATTTATTATAAGTTTAAATACATGTTTTGATATGAATAAAACAATAAATAAAATTCCGGGGCATGAAAATAATTGAAGGATTTTTTTTTTCCTCTTCTTTTTATACGAGTGCGAATCAGAATCTTGTTGTTTCATATATAATGCGTCCGTATCTTATTTATTTTTTTCTTTCTAATTCTGCAGATGGATGAGGTGTTGGCTTCGGTAGCAGAAACACTAAAGAATTTTGCGGTGATATACCTGGTGGATATAGCAGAAGTGCCTGATTTCAACACCATGTACGAACTGTACGACCCTTCGACTGTGATGTTTTTCTTCAGAAACAAGCATATTATGATCGATCTTGGCACAGGGAACAACAATAAGATCAACTGGGCTTTGAAAGATAAGCAGGAGTTTATCGACATTGTCGAGACTGTGTACCGCGGTGCTAGGAAGGGCCGTGGTCTTGTCATTGCTCCTAAAGACTACTCCACCAAATATCGATACTGAGTCGGTTACATGCATATGTCTCTCTCATTAAATTTAGGGTAAGTTACAACCACCCCTGATGTAAGATCTATTTACGAAAAAAAAATCCTCATTTTTTCATAATTACATCCACCCCTGCAATTTGTAGATTGTTTACATTAACATTGTGGATTTAAGAAATTTACAAACTGCAGGGGTTGTATGTAATTTCTCAAAAAGAAGGGTTTTTTTTTTTGTTCTTTTTATTGTAATTACATTTTACCCCAGGGAGATGGTTGTAATTTACCCTTAAATTTATTATGGATGTATTCTAGGCCTAATTTATGTCTTGGGATCTTATTTCGACTGACGTGGTTTTGTTTAGTCTTGGTTTGTGTTGGGGAATGGTTCGAGTAAATTTGTCTTAATAGCAGAAGAAGATTGATATTATTAGCTTCGGAATTAGTTCAATTGTATATATATTATATATGCTTTACATATTCGGTCGTTTAAATGCTATAATGAGTTTTCAACTTGTTAATTCATTTTTGTTGCATTTTTTTTCCGTAAATCAAGGCTGGTTTACCCTGAAAATTCAAAAGAATTGGTCTCACGGGACTCCCTGAAGAACAAAGGGCATATCAAACCAATCGGTAAATGCAAGAAGAGTTCATCTCGTTAAGGTAACAATTCGATTCTCAAATTGTGAATTAGTCTGCATGTAATGAATTACACTAACATAGGCGGCGATTAGTTATTATTAAGATGCGTTTAATTATTCGAACCTCCTCTATAATTTGCCTAATTTACATATACATCCTCTTATGTATGTCTAATTACATTACTTCCCCTGAAATTAATGCCGACGCAACAGAGGTTGAAATACTTCAGTTTATGTGTATATATAGAGGGAAGAAGAAAAGAAAAACTAAATCTGATTTGAAGTCATAAGCGTTTTTTTTAACTTTCGGTTAAAATTAGGAAACTATAAATATTTATAATAAATAAAAAGCAAGAAGAAGAAGAAGACGTACGGGAAAAGAAAAAAAAAAGGGAAGAGGAAACCGACATAGTATATGGTGTATGCGCCTGCCTTCAATCGAAATGATTGACACTTTGTCGTAGTTTTGTTGTTTCCTCAAATCACTCATATTTTGGTAAACGTATTATTTTATTTTTATTTATTTTTATTTATTTATTTATTTATTTGCATGAAAGTAACAATGCTTGTTAGATCTGAGATTTGCACGAACAGAGTTAATGTTAGATCTGATATTAAATTGTTGATTAATTACATGTATCTGCATGATCTTCTCACATGTTGTTTCTCTTCCCTAAGAATTTAATTTATTTATTTAATTTTTTTTTTTTTACTAATAATTATTCTTCATCGTGCAGTAATCGATAACCTGCATCACAATTCACATCCAATCTGACTCATCAGATAACTCCTCTACTAGAGCATCAATTTTCCTAACCACACACACACATACTTTTCTTAGCTACATTGTATTAAAATCCAATTGTGTACTTTTTTTGTTGAATTGTTCAAATCGTAAGTGGTCCAAATCTTAGGTAATTGACATATTCCCAACCGGTCCGGGTCATGTTTCTGTCGATTACATGACGAAGTGAATAATTTATAATGATTGATTATATTTAATTAAATTGTATTTGGATTTAAAAAAAAAAAAAAATAGTGATTTCTATACCAGCTGTAACTTCACCATTTTTAGATGTTGAGCACATGCAAATTTTACCAGCTCTTGTTGAAATGATGCAACACCAACCAATTAATTGGGGAAAAAATAGTGTGAGAAATATAAGTCAATATTTGGTATCAAAACTTTTTTTTGACTTTTGTACTTGTTTCCGACTTTCTTTCCATTTAAAGAAAGAACCGCGCCACAAAACTGAGGGGTGGTTGTAGTTACCCAAATATGAGGGATTTTTTCGTAATTTGATCGTGGCTGTAATCTACCCTAATTTCCCTAGTTTAGTGACATTTTCTACTTTTGGACCTTCACTTCAAGATCTCAAATGTATTTGGGTAAAAAGTAAAACAAAATTGAACCAAATCTTCTATGGTTACTCTATTGTGTAAAGTTCTCTTTTGTTTTGTTGTTTTGCAAATATATATGTTAATATTGGCGTTGTAAATTATACATGGCGAAATTTTAACCTTTAAAAGAAATACATAATACAATTGGAACAAAAATTGACCACAATGAATATGAGAGCAGTTCATCCGCATAGTACTGAAATAGGGGGATTTCGTGCGAGTTTTCTTAACACAATAGATATTTATGCAATCTAACTCGGTTCTTTAAAGCTTGAACTTCTTAAAATAAAAGGGCAAATTGCGAGAAACTACCCGAGATAAGACTTAATTATAAAAATCACAAGCATGTTTTGCGTAATTAAGAAATATTGTTTTCATTTCAGTTCAGATTACTTAAGGGTAAAATATATATATATATAAAAAAAAAAAAAAAAAGACCATCAATTCTTTTTTTAGAATACAGTGTCAAATTCAAGTTAGAGGGGCTCTTTTCGTAATTATGTAAAGATAGAGGAGATTTTTGTAACCAGACCTTACCTCAATGGGGCTCTTGCAATTTTGCCCTTCAAAAAATAAAGTTAGGGATACTTCATTATTCACCCTAGATGCAAAGTTCAATAAATTCAAAAATTTCCTAAGAAATAGCCATATTTAATTATTTACTTAGAAAAGGTGTTAAAACGACACACGTAATGAGAAGTACTGATGATTATATGTACCTACTGAGTAGTTATTTATGTAGATCTACGATTTAAAATCACATTGTGTATTTCATCAGATGTAGGATCTCATAATCCCAATAATCGATAGAATCTTTCAGTTATCTGATAATTTACAGCTAATAATATCATTGGGATTTTCACTTTGTTAGATGAATTCAAAGTCACCAACTAAAGAATCAACTTTTTTAAATTTTTTTCACTATGCTAAGATCCATTTGTGTTTTAATTAAGACATGAAAGCGATTGACATCTTTGGTTAGATATTCGACAGCTTTTAACAACATTATTTTTTTTTTATTTTTTTTGATAGAAATAAATTACTTTGCCGTGGAAGAATTTCAAAAGAGAATCCACGACTTTTCTAACAAGGTGCGCTCCAGCTAAATTCTAAACTCTCCCCAAATAATCTATTTAATTATTATTATTATATCTAAGTTTTGGGATTTAAAATTGTTTAATTTAAATAGAAGGGCACATGAGGGATAAGTATGCATTCCGTACGTGTAAACATGCATTTATATATAATTATATAATTGTGTATGTATTATTGTTCATAGTGAATTTTAAAATTGAAATAGTTACGTGGACATACAAAATTAATTTAAAGAGCATCACAAAATCAAATGAACATGATCTTGTCCACATTTCCATAGACATCTCTGTAATTAAAATAAAGGAATCTTGCCCACCTTCTTTATGTATGTCATTTAATTTTGTGTACCTATATAAATATTTAAACCCCATTTTAATTGCATCTCTATTAAAAATTACCTTCTTTTGTTTTCTAATGACGAACCTTTTTTTTCAATTAAATTAATTGCATCAGACACTTCTGCTTTGTATTTAAGTGGTGTTTGCAGAAGTTTTTATGATTAGATTATGAGTTTTTTTTTCTTCTACAGATG